AGCTACCTTTTGCAAAAATGGAAGAAATGCTTTATCTATTTTGGGATTAATCCTCTAGACAATGCTTGAACACACAAAACATGGTCTTGGCACAAAGGTTTTGCATTGAATTATTGAGTGTCAAAGGGTTTTAGGACCTGTAATTTAGCACAAACTATGCTGACTTGAAAATGGCCTAAGTTATGAATATGTTCATGATCAATTCAAAAGTGAGTTTTTGCCATATTGTGAAATTCGATTCTCTCAAGTTATGAGGTTGTTTGAGAAGTTCTTGGACATTTTGGAAATCTTGGAATGTGTACTACAATCCATCTTTGAAATGCAAATTGAAATTCCAAGTGGAAGTGTATGGAAAATGGCCTTGAAGTTGGGTAGAAAACCTTGTCAAAATAGGTTAAAATTTCACTAAGTTAAGAATGGTTTAGTGCCCTTATTCAAAAATTTGTAACTTGAGATACAAGCCTCATTTGGGAAAACTTTGTGAATCAAAGTTGTAGATTATGCAACAATCTACAACTTTCATGTTTTGACTTTTGTTTGAATCCAAATGGATCTTGGTGAGAAAGTGGGGCAAAGTTGGAAAGAAATTAGGGTTTTTCATAACTTAGAAAAATTCTAAGTTATGAAAAATTCTAATTTCTAACCCTAATTTGCATTTTGTGATTTCTTGGTGAACAAGTTTCATGATTTGGCATGTTTTGATGAAAAATGAATCTTGACTCTTGATTTTGACCAAAAAGTCAAAGTTTGACTTTTCAGTGTACAGTCAAAATTGATCAATTGACTGGGAAATTCAACTGTCAATTTTGTGCATTTGGGATCTTTTGAGTTTGTTGAGCATGTCAAGATAATTCCATTGGGTCCTTGAGTCCATATGTGAGCTTGGTTTGCCATTGACTAGGTCAAACAGTCAAAAATTGCCTTTGTTCAGTCAAAACCCTAAAAATGACCATTTTGCCCTTTTGGTGATCTGATCAAATTTCTTATGGAATTGTGATCCAAACTTGATCAAATGGTTCATATGAGTTCATAATGTTGATGTGGGTCAATTTTCATGAGATTTGACTGTCAATTGGCCACAATTGACTTTTTCTCCAATACAGCTGATTTCTAGGACAACTGTCCAATTGACTGGGCAAAACTTGGAATCAAGACTTGAAACTTGATGAGGATAAACTTGGGAGTCCAATATGAAGCAAGAAAGTCATCTTAGGAATTTTGGGTCAAAACATCTTTGTGCAAACACAAACCCTAATTTGGGTCAGTAGTGCAAGGAGAAGTCTTGAGCAGATGAAACCTTAACTGGATCCTGATCTTCAAGGGCTTTGTGATGAGAAATCAATGAGAAATGGGAGAGCAAATTTTGGGGTACAACAGTATTTATGATGCCCCCAATGCTTGGTCATTAGTCCATATTATGGGCCGAATATTTAGGCCCAAAATACGTAACTTTCAGGATTCCTATGTGAAAAAAAAGACGAGTGACTCATGCTCGTAATCCTGGGAAGAGATGCTTGTGAATATCCTTTGTTATGGTTAGAGATTCCCAGAACTAGAAATTGTCGCGAGTAGAAGGGAAAAGTGTCCTTTGTTAGCCATAGTTGCATGGACCAATGATTATGGGTCATCCTGGATACAGAAATAGATTGGGTCGTGCCTAGCCACTGGCCCAGTCCAGAACATGTCCTTATTAGACAATTCAAATTATCCACTAATATTGGGTGGTAGGATGTAACATTTTTACGTTTGACCCCATATTTATTCATAAAATTCACAAAATATTTATTGCAAAAATGTGTTCCTTCATCACTGGTGATGGTAGTAATGTGTCATGTCTAGAGAAAAAGTTTTGTTTGAAAATTTGATCACAACCTCAGCATAAATAGTGGAAATTTCCATTTCCTTTATCAACTCTGACACATGACCAAAAACCACAAGTATTTACAAATTTCCAAAAGATTGAGAAAATGGTCCCGTTTAGTCAATGCCCCACACATCAAATAACTCAATTTCTAAAATATTAGTGAGTGATAATCTTGACTTGTGGAAATATTGTCTATCCTTTGGAATCTATCACAAGTTTAAACTAATTAATTTGCATATTTTAATAAAGAAGGTCAAAAATAACCTACTTGCAAAACCTTAGCAACAGTTCTGGTTCGTCCCAATGTCGTCCATAAGGTGCATTTGTTGGACATATGACTTAACAAACAAGAGGCGGGTAAACCGTGGGTTTCAGAAAAATGGTAGTTTACAAAACTTTTAGGATCATTTTCAGAGCTTAAAATCATTTTTAAAATGTTTTAGAAATTTGCAGGGAAAAATAAAATACGGAAAATAAGTAGTAAAGAGATAGAGAAATAACACAAGTAATTATAAAGGTCCAGTCAAAAATAAAAATAACATAGTCTTCTCTCCAATATTTGTTCTTGAGAGTATTCAGTAAATATTTAAGAGCATTTAGTAGGTTGTGAACTCTTGAACCCCCTTATACAAGGAAAATGAAGTTTTTGACTAACTACAAACTAAGGAGAAAATAAGGAGATAAACCGTAATTCTTCCTTACAAACGAAGAATTGAAGCAGTTAATCTTCTTTCCAAACTAGAAATGGTTAGTCCCCAAGCTATACTGAGATTTTACAAAGGTTGATCTTGAACATAGGTGAGCTATTCATCTGGGTTGAACTCATAAACTGAACTGGGATTTTGATCCACTGACCATGAGCCTATGAGAATTTATACCAAGCTTATCTCCAACCTTATCAGGATTTTAACCGGGATGAGGTTACAAATATATAGAGGTTTTACACAAGATAACCATAAATCAACTTCATATTTTAGTATGGGATGATCTCAAATGATGAAAGCTTTTGAACGGGTTGAACCTTAGAACTGAACTGATAACTTATTGAATAAATACCCAGACCAAAACTTAATGGGTTTAGCTTTGAGCCCAAATAAACAATACTTAATTGGATAAATTATTTAACCAAGTTAAAAATGTTATGTGGTGAATTTATAATGCTATCCTTTTAGAATCACAAAGATGCATCAATTGCAAAATAATCTTTCTTGAAAGTACGATGGCTAAATTTATAAGTGAGAGAAGGTGAGAAAATATGTTTTAGAGAGAAAGTGGGGAGTGAGATATGAGAAATGGTGATTTTGGATTTGAAAATGTGAGAGAAAAGACTTATATTTATAGGCTCGAGGTTTACTAAAAATAAGAAAATTTGTGTTGCCAAAATTAATGAGCCAATCGATTTGCATCATGCTCAAATCGATTGATTGGCCTAAAATTAATCGATTAATAGGTTTTAAAGGTAAGAAAAAAAAAAAATATATATATATATATATATATATATATATATATATATATATATATATATATATATATATATATATATATATATATATATATATATATATATATATATATATATATATATATATATATCCTTTATTGTTCATTAAGACAATATCTTAAACATTTAGGGAGCATTTTTGAACTAACCCAATCGACTGGGTATAAGTGCCAATTGATTGCGCAATAAAAAAAATTTTCCAAAACATTTTCCGACAACTCCAAATTCATCTGGAACGACTTCAAGAAATTTTTAGAAATTTTGATGTTTCTTTTAGATTGACTGCATTATACAATACAACATAGAGTTTGTTCACGCTAGTTCCGATGCAGAAGGGACACATGTGGAACCCGATGTTCTAACATGTGTGCTTCAACATCTGGTCTTATACAACAGACAAATGTTATTGTTGTTTTGGTTTAGACTTATTCTATCTAAGATTCAATTTACAAATAAGATTGCATATTCATGATGAAGAGTTAATTTGAATGTACTAGTGCAACATGTTGAACACGATGCTTCAACATGTGTGCAGTACAACATCTTGCCTTGATAGTGAGTCATATGGATGTTGTTTGGTGTGCAATTTGTGATTAGGATTTTAATCAAATTTGATGTATTTAATTTAGTAATGTTTATTTGATTTGTTTGACAACTGGAGATGTTCAAATCAGATTTAAATGTAAATTAAAATTTGAGTTTGAACTATAATAAATCTTATCTTGTTGTTGGAGACAATTATGGAGAAGATCTAGCAGAATCAACTACTTTCAACACTAAATCAAATCAAATATCCAAGGGAGAAAATCCCATATGACATTGCTATATAAGGAGACTCAAGTCTCACGTTTAAGACATGGATTTTGTGCACAAGGTTTAGTATCTTTGTGCTAGGGTTTTCAGTCTTTGTAACTTGTATTCCACGCTAATGTCATCGTAAGGATTAGCGTAGAATCTCTGTGTACACCACTATATGCTTTAGTAACTTGGCATAATTATTCGTTTGTCTTAGTTGAGTTGTAAATTCAACATTCAATAGGGTTGTTATTGAAGTAAATCACTAACGATTAATGATTGAGAGAAAGTGAGATGAGTTCTCATATTTAGGGGGAGACCTAAATAGAAAGTAACTAGGATTAGGAAGATGCATTGAACATCTTGGAGTTGGTCTTCATATATAGAAGACTAATTGTACTAATTTGAAATAGTGAATTTCCTTTGTTGGATATAGTGTCCTCCAAACGTAGGCATTGTTTGCATCGAACTGAATTACCAATATCCGATGTTATAGATTACTTTTACATTGACTATGTGTATTAAATCTGATTTAACTTGTTGGACCAGTTATTCCAACATCGTGTCCAACATCTATCCCCTCAGAGCGATTTTCTTAACTAGCCGGCTTGGGAGTGATATCCCTCTATTTTGATTTTTTGTAATTTATTTAATTTGTTTCTCTTATTTTATTTTTCTAACTATTATTTTTTCCTTTTTAATTTTTTTCTTTTGTTTGGTTGAGTAAGATCTAGCCTCCAGTCATATGATGATTTTTTTAGTTTTGGCGTTTTAAAGTAATATATTTTGCCACGAAAAGCATGTTGTACTAAGAACCTTATCTCATTCATCCTATATAATATGGTAACTAGATTGGTGGGTTGTAAGCAAAGAGCTATAAGTCCTTTTGGGAGTTTTATATTTGTCTTCATTGATTTCTAGTGTTTCAGAAAGGTAAGTTCTTACTGCCATAGAATTAATATGTAATTAATTAATTAAGCCTGACCAAGTAATATATGTGTATGCACAATGTTTTATTTTTTTTGTGAAAATGTCTCGTCGACTTATTTCTAACACATTTTTTGCTTGGCTTGTTTATCTCAGACATGGATTATGCGATTAGTGCACTGCTCATTTTGTTGACATGCATTGTCACATACTTTGTTCGTTCACTTTCTGCAAGAACCAAAATTTCAGACTACAAGCTTCCACCAGGACCTTCCTTTTTCACTATCATGTCAAATGTTGTTGATTTGTACAACAAGCCACAACAAACACTTGCAAAATTTGCTAAGTTCTATGGTCCTGTTATGCGTATAAACCTATGCACTGAAACCACTATAATAATCTCGTCGTCTGATATGGCCAAAGAAATTCTCCATACTCATGATTCTTTGTTCACTGATAGATCTGTTCCTCATAATACTACAATTTACAACCACAACAATTTTAGCTTAGTCTTCCTCCCATTTTCACCTCTTTGGCAACACCTTAGGAAAATATGTCATAATAATCTATTCTCTAGCAAGACCCTTGACGCAAGTCAAGAACTTAGACGAATTAAACTAAAAGATCTTCTCAATGATATGCATAAAAGCAGTTTAACTGGTGAAGCTGTTGATATTGGAAGAGCTGCTTTCAAAGCTTGTATTAATTTTTTGTCGTACACTTTTGTGTCTCAAGATTTTGTTGACTCTCTGGATGATGAGCATAAGGATATAGTTTCCACTCTTCTGAAAGCCATTGGAACACCAAACATCTCTGATCATTTCCCTGTGTTGAAGATATTTGACCCACAAGGGATCAAAAAACTCACTTATAATTATGTTTCAAAGGTTTTTTTTGCCTTAGATATAATAATTGAGAAGCGAATGAAGTTGAGGGAAAGTGAACATCATATCTCAAACAATGACATGTTAGACACTTTGTTGGACATTTCCAAAGAAGATAATCACAAGATGGATAATAAGCAGATTAAACATCTATTACTTGTAAGTATTTTCATTTCTCTTTCACCATTTATATAACCATGCACTGGTTATTTACTTAACATGTGACTGTTGTACTTTTACCAGGATTTGCTTGTGGCGGGAACAGATACAACAGCATACGGATTAGAAAGAGCACTGAGTGAACTAGTACACAATCCAGAGATTATGTCAAAAGCCAAAAAGGAACTTGAGGAGATTATTGGATTAGGAAATCCAGTTGATGAATCAGACATCGATAGGCTTCCATACTTACAAGCAGTGGTAAAAGAGAGTTTACGTTTACATCCTCCAGCTCCAATGTTGCTCCCTCGAAAAGCAAGGGTAGATGTGGAAATATCAGGATACACAATTCCAAAGGGTGCTCAAGTTTTGATCAATGAATGGGCTATTGGTAGAACAGACATATGGGAAGATGCTCATTTGTTTTCACCAGAAAGGTTTATAGGATCTGAAATAGATGTAAAAGGTCGACACTTTAAGCTTACACCATTTGGCAGTGGGAGACGTATATGTCCAGGATCACCATTGGCAGTGAGGATGTTGCATTTGATGTTGGGATCATTGATCAACTCATTTGATTGGAAACTTGAAAACAATATGGAGTTTAAAGACATGGATTTGGACAATTCTCTAAGAGCTATTCCGGTTGCACTAAACAAAGTGTTATAAGTAATTAATGAGATCAATGTATTATTATATTAAGTTTGCTGGATAATGATTTTCAGATGGACCTAGTTTTAGGGGAGTATATTGTATTAAGTAGTTGAGGAATGTAATCTCATTGTGTAACACCTCTAATTTAAGGGGTGCATTTATCTTTCTTTATTTTGCTCTAGTAAATTTAATTTTTTGTTTGTGTCGGCTTAAGTGCCTCCCAGAGTTTGAAGCCTTTGTATGGGGATGTATAATAACGTGGCTTGAAAAATGAAGACTTTTTTGTTTGTCTCTATTTTTTATGGTTGAGTTGTTTTCGTTGTTTCGATATTGATATTATTGTATGATGATTTTTTTTGGTAGAAATCGAATAACCTCTATGTGTAGAGGTAGAGATTAATCTTTCGAGACGGATAAAGATCGATGTAGTTAAAGAATATTAATGAGAATAATCCAGAAAGTACAAATTTGAGAGTGTATAACAGTGTAAGGGAGCATATTATGGGCCATGAGGATGTCCTATTAATTTTGCAAGAGTAGCTATAAGAGTACTAAAAAATCAGGTAATAGATCTAATATCTAAAAATGATACAATAGAGCCAAAAATATATATGCTACTGACTTGCTTAAAATAGATCCTAATAATTTAGTGAGAGAATATAGCCAACTTTATAAGTGTTTTGTTTGAGCTTTTATGCCGTTTTAAAAAAATATATAAAATGTGTTGATTTTAATAATAAAATTAATATTATTTATTAAAATATTTTTATTTATTATAATTAGTGAGTGTTTTTTAAAAAAAATTAGTGAACTAGATGAAAAACCTGAAAGTTAATAAAAAGATATAATAGTGAAAAATAATAATAAATGGTGTATTAGTATTTTAAAGAAACGTTTATTTTGATACATAAAAAACTGTGAGTGGGAATAAATATTTCTTTTAAAAAGGAAATACTATATTATATGGAAGCAAACATTGGATAGAATTTCACATAAAGTTATTGATTAAACACCCTATAAAAGTTATAAAAGTTATGGAATGGTTAATGAAATATTTAAGAGTGGGGGGTGTTTAGCTAAAGTCATATTGTTTATGCCAAGAAAAAAAATAGATTTCAAGACATTTGTCTATTGATTATGCCAAACATAGTCTGCATATAGATTTATTGGGCTTAAAAGTGGTGTATTTGCTAATAATAATATTGTTGAAATTAAATATAATTAATTTTTGGAAATTATTTATTCTCTTGAAGTTCAAAAATGTTGTTGATAAATCTTATTTATATATTTTAAATAAAAATTCAGCTGATGATTTAAGAAGTAAAAAACAAAGAAAGAGATATTCTGTAGAAGAAATTTTATAAATATTATGTTGAAAATGAACCTCAAATATTTTATGGAGATGATAGTGTAAAAAGAGGAATTTACACTCGTTTTTTATATATTTTACATCCATTATTAAAATGTGTAAATTTAAAGGATGAAAAATGTTTGATGATTTTATATCCGATTTAAAATAGGTATAAATAAAAGATATATTACATTTTATTTTTATAGAAAACGAGTGTAAATTTTTATCTATATCTATTTAAACCAAACGAATTTACACTCCATTTGATTAAAATCGGGTGTAAAAGGAATAATGCTTATTATGAATATAAAAAAATTTACACTCTATTTTCTTTAAATAGTGTATAAAAATACGGTAGATTACCTCCTATTTTAGTTATCATTAGTGTAAAATATTTTATAGTTATAGTATATTGAATTTCATCAACACCATATTTCATTCAGTTTGAGTGGAGTGGGGTGGAAATGAACATAAAAATCTAACTCGCACGGCCAAAGTGACGGATTGACGGTCGACGGGTTTGTCCGCTTACTTTTTATTTTTTTATTTTTTTATTTTTTAATATATTAAAAGTTTTTTTTACATTTTAATTAGATTTTTCACTTATTTTTTAGAATATTTTTTTATAAAGTATGTTTTTACAAAAATTTACTTAAAATATTGCATTTATTCACAAATAAATGTATAAATAAAACCATCAAGATGTGAATCTACTAGAATTAACTAAAAAAATTGCGGGCTTAATTTGGGACAAGTTGAACAAACACTACTACGAAAAATCCCTTTCGCAACAGTTAGAAAAGGGATACCATCACGCCTATCATACCATTATTAAGTAGCGTGTGGTTGTAAGTTCGTTGTTTCCACCACGGTCTAGAAACCATATATACACTTAGATACTAGGTTTGAAACCCATCAATAGCAAATTATGTTAAACTAAAATGACTTTTGATCACGGTTACAATAGATAACTGTTGTTGAAAGTATCCAGAGTTTATTATATAATATAGATTGCTTGTTTTTCATACACATCACAAAAGAAATACAAGCTTTCAAATTGATGAAGAAGTCTATAATATGGAAATTAAACTATTCTTGAAAACCAACTTAAACAAAAATGACCTTTGATCACGGTTACAATAGACCAACATATAGTGGTTTATTGGTCTAACTCCTTCGATACATCGTTATCTTCAATTATAGTTAAATTTCTATTACAACAAGACATTGGATAATATGTCCCATCATCATCACTTATCATCGTAATTTTTATAATCGTAAGTTTTAAATAAACTAAATTGTGTCACATATAGATGAAATTAATGAAGATATGAATGATCAACTATAAGATATGATATGTGATATTTGAGAAGATTTTTTTATGAGAGTCCATGTGTATGATATTTTACGTAGTGACAAAGAAGAGTCGTTATATTCGAGGTGCAAAAGTTTTACTCAATTGTTAGCGGTGTTAAGACTGTTTAATCTGAAGGAAAAATGTAGGTGGACAGATAAAAGTATCACTAAATTTCTTAATTTTTGAAAGACATGCTTCCAAAAGGTAACACGTTGTCGATTCATAATTATGAGTTCAGGTAGATATTGTATCCAATGAGTTTGAATTATATCAAAATACATGTATGTCATAATAATTACATATTATATAAGAAAGATTATAAAAAATTAAAAAAGTGTCTGAAGTGTGGGTAGTCACAATACAAGTTGAATGATAGTGATGTTCATGATTATGATGGTGTAAGCAAAAAGGGTCCCCCTATCATGATTATGTAGTATTTTCCAATAATTCTAAAGTTCACGAAACCATTTGATAATGTAAATGATGTAAAATATATTAGTTGACATGCAAATGAAATAAAATGTGACGGAAAAATTTGTCATGAAGTTGATTATTTGCAAAGAAAGAAAATAGAATCGCTATTTTCGAATTTTGTGTTGGTGCAAAGGTGATGAATTTGAGGAAGAAGATGAAAGGGAATAAATGCAAAAAGGCTGACAACAAATGATTGGAATTGATTGATTATAAATGTAATCCTAATACACCTATTTATACACAAATAAAGATGCCACATAGGCCCTAATTGTAAACTTATCTTCAACTAACAAAATACTAAATTACCCTCTAATACCATCCCGTAATTTAGTAATTTATGAGAAGTTAACAACACCAATTTCATCTCTTAAGCGCAGAAATTGGTCTGTTTTTATTGCCTTCGTCAGAACATCTGCCAGCTGCTTCTGAGTGCTACAGTGCAGAACTTCTAACACTCCTTTCTGCACTTGACTTCTGAGAAAGTGATACTTCGTCTCAATGTGCTTGCTTCTGCCATGTAGAACTGGATTCTTTGCAAGATTAATTGCAGACTTGTTATCAATCATCAGCTTCAGAGGTTCCTCAACTTCAACCTTCAGATCATGCATCAGATTCAGAAGCCAAACTGCTTGACAGGCGGCTACAGCACCAGCAATGTATTCAGCTTCACATGTTGACAGAGCCACAACAGGCTGTTTCTTGGAACACCAAGAGATTGGACCTCCCAGAAACTTGAATAAATACCCAGAAGTGCTTCTTCTGTCGACTCTGTCTCCACACCAATCAGAATCAGAATAACTCTGAAGTTCTGATTTGATCTTTCCTCCAGAAGGAAATAACACTCCATAATTCAGAGTTCCTTTTATATACCTCAGAATCCTGACAGCAGCTTGGTAATGAGACCACTTTGGTTTGCTCATGTATCTGCTGACCATTCCAACTGCATAACAAATATCAGGTCTGGTATTGCATAAATACCTCAGAGAACCAACCATTTGTTTGAAGGTTGTAGCGTCCACGTCCTCTCCATCAGAATCAGAGTCCAACTTCTGATTCGTATCAGCAGGTGTGATAGCAATCTTGCAATTTGCTAGCTCAAATCTCTTCAGAAGCTCTAATTCATACTTCTTCTGATGTAAAATGATTCCTTTCTCAGAGTATATAAGTTCCATCCCTAGAAAGAAACTCATTTTTCCAAGATCTGTCATCTCAAACGCCTTCATCAGAACTTTCTTGAACTCAGCTGTTTCTTGTTCAGAACTTCCTGTGAGTAATATGTCATCAACATATAAACAGACCAGAATCATATTACCTTCTGAAGTATGCTGAACATAAACACCATACTCCATCTCACACTTCTGAAACCCTTGTTCCTTGAAAAACGAATCAATCTTCAGATTCCAAGCTCTGGGCGCTTGCTTCAGTCCATACAGAGCTTTACTTAACCTGTATACCATCCCTTCCTGATTCTTTTTCACAAATCCAGGAGGTTGTGACACATAAACTTCTTCCTGTAATGGACCGTTCAGAAATGCAGACTTCACATCCAGATGTATCAAAGGCCAATTTCTGTTTGCAGCTAAAGCAATCACCAGTCTGATTGTTTCGTGTCTAGCTACAGGTGCAAACACCTCAAAATAATCTAGTCCAGGTTTCTGAAGAAAACCTCTGGCCACTAGTCTCGCTTTATGTTTGCCAATTGATCCATCTGGCTTTAACTTCTGCTTGAAAACCCATCTAACGCTGATGGCTTTCTTGCCTTTTGGAAGTTCTGTCAGCTTCCAAGTCTTGTTTCTTTCAATTGCCTCAAGTTCTTCTTTCATGGCATTCAGC